TTTTCTGGAGAAGCGCTGTGGAGCTTACATTTATTTTAACCACTTACTAGTTACTATCAAACATAAACATTAACCTTATGAAACATGTTAACATTATAAAAAAAAGTTTTGAACATAAATATCTAATATTTAATACTTAATAGATAATTGTCTATACTGTATTGTCTGCTAATATGTCCACACTTATTGTACAATTTAAATTTTTAAATTTGTATAGCTTCTGTATACATTTGGGTATTCTATCATGTTAATAACAACAATGATTGCTATATTCAAAAAAGAAAAGATAATACACTAGAAGATGGCTATGTTAAACCTCAATATATCTAAGACATATTCACTATTATGGGACATTATGAAGCTTCCAAGTATACGAATATTGGCAATAGCTTTATTAACAGCAAGGGTAACTATAGGTCAAAGCAATTTAAAACTTTTTTACTCACTTCTATATACTATAAAAATATTATACATTGTTTAATTGTTTTAAACATTTAGATTGTACATCTTAAACTTCTTAACTTAAATATGTGATATGATAAAAACATTTACTTGTTACTATGCATTATATTCCAACAATTTTATGTATTTAAGAATTGTTGAAATAATAATGTCATAAAAACACAGTAACAATTTTATTTGATTGTAGAATTGTATTAATTTTAATAAATAAAATTCTATAATAAAGATTGGATTTGCTGCAACAGACAGTATATCAACTTTAAAACTTATTGATGCTGGTGTATCGAAAGATGACATTATGGTTATTAACACTGCAATGTATGTCGTAAAAATGATTATACCATTAATTATAGCAAAGTACACTTCAGGACCAAAACCATTAAGCTTATATCTAAAAGTGACACCTATCAGGTATTATTAACAATTATTTTCTATAGGATTAATTAATATAGTCCGTATTGGAAATTCCATCTCAAACATTAAGTATTAAAGTTGTTGCAACACAGCAAAAATAATATATTTTCTTATAAAATTATTATTTCAATATTTATTACATTTTCATTACTTCTATAATTGAATTAATGTAATATAAGTAAATATTCCATAAATAAGTTACAAATCAGAAAAAAAATTTAGTTACTTCCTACTAATTAATAATAGTACCTACTAATAAATGTTTGCATTAATATTTTTTCGTTCATAGATCAGCTCATGATACATAATAAGTAAAATGTTAAACTTTATTATTGTTAGATTAAATCCAATCCCCTGTCTGAAAAATGTTTAATATGTTACTCATTACGTTACAAACATGCTTATAAATTATAACTTTGTATTTCAGATTACTTTGGAACATTGTATTTATTGTATTAATATACTATACACCAACAATTATAACTACTAATGGGATTGTAAATATTCCAGTATATTACTATGCAATCTTAATTTTTATATTATCAATACAAGAAGTAAGTTGAATATTTAGAATTAATACTTAAAATAAACTTTATCCTATTTTACTAGGAGACATGGCTATTATAAAGATTTTATAATTTAATACATTTATATTTTACTAAAATAAGTTACAAAAATTAATTTATCTTTTTTGCAGGTTCTTTCATACATGATGTTTGTAGCTATATTAGCCTTTTTCTCTCGGATAAGTGATCCTCGTTTTGGTGGTACTTACATGACATTATTGAATACACTCTCAAATTTAGGATTTGTATGGTCATCTACTGTAGCACTTCAATTGGTTGATTTGTTAACATCAAAAGAATGCTCATTTGATTCCATGAATAATTGTTCTACATTAGATCTTCAAAATGTAAGACATTCTACAATTAATTATTTATAAAGTTATTTACTTACTCTAGTTTATTAATTAGGTACCTATATGTATATTACTCAGTGCCGTAGCCAGGATTTTTTTAGGGGGGGGGGCTCAATTTTTTATGGCCAATTATGACAGCAAATTAAGTTTACACTGTATTTCTGATAAATAATTCATATAATAAATATATAATTAATACATAAAAAAAGACAAAAATAAAAATAGATTACATGCTTAGAACATAAAGTCTAAACGTCTTTCTTTTTTTGAAGCGAACATATTAATTATTGTTTCAGGGTCAATAATTATTTCCCGGTGAATATTCATGAGTGCTAGACCATTTAGCCTCTTCTCACTTTTTGAGTTCCTTAAATAGGTTTTTATCCTTTTTAATGTGGATAAACTTTCAACTGATGCTGTTGAGACTGGTAGAATGACTAGTATTTTCAGCAAAACATGAATACTTGGAAATAGTTCTTCTGGACATTTTGATAGAGCATCTAAAGGGTTTTTGGAACTATTTTTGGTTCCACTTTGGACCATTTTTGTTGCCACAATTCAAATGGTCATGAGCGAAAGAAAATGTGATAAGAGCAACATTGTTTTATCACCACAAACGGTTAATGATTATTTTAACAATTCTACATATTTGGGGATTCACACATATTGCATATACAATTGTATTTTCAATAAAATAAATAAAATTATTGTCGTCTGATATTTCGGTGGAGGGGCTTGAACCCGGAAGCCCCCCCCCCCCCCTAGCTATGGCACTGATATTCCTTATATTTATAATTATATATATTTGTATGATAATATTAACATACATACTTATTGAACAGCTTAATAATATAGAATTAAAGAATAGGTTTTTATCCCATTTCATTAAATTAAAGATTTAAATAAGTAGTATTTCAGATTTAAATTATTTTGTCTATTTTGATATCAGTTAACTATTAAACTATACTAGTTATACTTACATTGCATTTAAAAACAGAAAAATCGGATTGATGTGTGGGATTTTTTTTTTTAATAATTTTTATTTGAAGTTTTGATTATGCTTTAGAATTGAATAATTTGATATTGTGTCATTATAACAATATTTTTATTAAATTTTAATCTTATTATATTTTATTTTTTTAGATTTGTAAAGCTAATGAAGGCAATTGTATTGTTACAATTAATGGCTATTACGTTGAAATTATTCCCTGTACAATCATTGGAATTGCTTGGTACATTTATTTTAGAAATATCTTAAAAAATCTTCAAATTAGAAGTCCTTCTCATTGGTTGATAAATGTGAAAAAACCAGTTGTAGAAAATATTGAAGAGTCATTCCCTTTGACTGTAACAGTGTAATGTTATTGTGTATTATGTATTCATTTGATCAAATAACATAACTCAGTGGCCGATCCAGAAGTCACCCAAGAGGGAATTTTCAAAAATTAAATTACCTTTTTCCGCCACTGATCTAACTTATTGCATAGAATGACATCATCTTCTGATTTTATCAGAAGCACTGATATTGGAGTTATTAATATGATTTTGATAATTTAATATTTATTTTCATTAAAAATCATGATGCCGGTATATGAATATATTATAAATTTATACTTTTTTGAGCTTAACTATTGTAAAATTTTAGATTATTCAACGGATTAAAATTATGTATTTTTAATTTTTATTACATATTATATTATTAATAAAAAAAACCATAATTTATTTTAAGTATATAACCTATTTACAATTTATTTGTATTATTTCTCTAAATGATTTCTAATACGAGTAGAAGTAAAAGTTTTCTTCTATCATTAATTAATAGTATTAGTTTCAGTTTAATATATATTTATAATTTATCATTGAATAGTCTCAAGTGGGTCATAAGATGTCAATCATAATTATTAGGATTTTAAAATAAACCCAATTACCTATTTTGAAAGTGTTTTAATTTTTTCCGGGTCTTGGTTCAAAAAAACAAAAAACAAAAGAAGTTTCATCCAATTAAGACCAGAAAATAAGATACCTATCACTTATCAGAATATAGTACAAAATATCTAGGTCCCCGCCCCTATATAGGTATATGGTTTAATGTTTTACCTCAGGTTATATAAAACTAAAATTATATAATATGCGGTTTACGCACGGACTAATGTATCTTAGTCCGTACTCCATAGCACGATTAAAGAGGGCAAAGAATGATTTAGTAATATCTTAAATCGTAGGCACTGAACTAAGTATTTAGTTAAGTTTAAGTATATAGTTATTTACTAAATATTTAGTTCAGTGATCGTGGGACAAACTCACGGCTATAGATACCATATCTATGCATAGAACAATATATTAAAAAAAATAGTAGTGTAGATAATAATTATCTATTATCTATAATTAGTAGAGTCCACGGACTAAGATATAATGGACTGGAAACGAGCAGCTTATCATGGCCACGAATTTATGTACAAGAGGCAAAGTGCGGGGGGTCGCTATCTGTTCTTGGAGTTCACAGCGCCCTCTGTATTTAACACGGACTAAGATACAAATTGTGTAGCCAAATAAAACCACCGGTAGCGCTGAAAACTTCAAGAACAGTATTCTTATCAGCTAAGTGACATCTTTTCGTGGCCGTCCCCCGATCCCCGCCGACCATGTCGTTTCCAGTCCATTATATCTTAGTCCGTGGTAGAGTCAAAAAATGTTAAGATAAGGCGGTGATAAGTGATAACAATTAACATTCAGCCACTTGTGATAACGCATTACAAAATACAAACGCAAACACGAACTTCCGCGTCTCTCTCAGACTGGCACACAGCGTAAAAATTATTTTATTTGTTGAATCATTTAATTTCTAGTTTTCCGAGTTTTCAAGATAGACTCACAAGTCGCATAGACCTATAAACTAGTTTATAGCTGGTCTATGACAAGTCACCACTTGTAACTTGTTTATTGTTCAGTGCTATTGATATGCTATAATAATCACAAAAGATATTTTTAATTTCAGAATTTATAGCAATATCAAAGATTATAGGTAAATTATGTAGTAATATTATAGAATATTATAAACCTCTTATTTTTATTATTTTATAGATTTTAATAATAAGTTATAATATGTAAATTATAGAACCATTATTAATATAAATACGTTTCTTACTTTCCTGTGCTTAATTAGTTGATTGTGTTTGCTACTGGTCATCGTAAAATTTAAATCAACATGTCTGGTAATGATGAATATGTCGATGTAATGACATCCAGGTTAGTACTTTTTTTTATTAATGCTTTTAATTAAAATTATAAATTAATAGGTAGTAGAAAATAAATAGGTACTTATGTTAATAATACAGGGTGTCCCGTGAGGATTTACTCATTAGCCGTAGAGGGGGACTCGCCGCCCGGACAAAAACCAGTTTATTGACGTTTTACTAATAAACTAAAAAAATTATTAAAAATCATGAGATTAATGAAAATAAAATGTTAAAAGCTCAAAATGTTCACAAAAATATACTCTATAGAATGGCTATCTTCAATTTTTTCAAAAATTAAAAAATTAAAAAATAATTTTTTTAACTTTTTTACTAAAAAATTTAATTTAATTAAAAAATAAAATATTTGTAGTGCTTACCTCTGCGAGTCTTAATAAAAAAACATAATTACGATATCTCCATTATTTCAGGAGATATCGCAATGAGTAAATCCTCACGGGACACCCTGTATATATTATTATTATTAAAATAATAAAATGTATTGTTTTAGTCCACCTCCTACAACTAGGACAACTTTACAAAGTTCAGGAATGAAGAAAAAAAAAGTAAAAAATAATAAAGACAATCCAGGATCAAGTGATGAAGAACGATGGTTAAAAGCAATTGAAACGGGTAAATTGGACGAAGTTGATGATGAGTTGAAGAAAATTAAAAAAAAGGATCCAAAAATGATGACCGCTAGACAAAGAGCAATGTTTGACAGAAAGTCTGATAAAGAATTCACCGAAGAACTGGTTGCATTGCCTTCTGGTTCGGAATTTAAAATTTTACTATTTTAATCAAATTTCTTAATCATTTAATAATTATAGGATATCGAGAAAAGGTATTAACTCCAGAAATGTTGCAAAAAAAAGCTATTAAATCACAAAAAAGAAAACAACAAGCAGATGAAAAAAGAGAAAATGATAAAAAGCGAACCATGGAAAGATTGTTGAAAAAACATGAAAGCAAATCTAAAACAAATGCTAAAGGCCGGATGGCAAGAAAGACTGTTAATAATATTATTTACATTAGTAAAAATGATAAAGTGTCTCTACTGTTTCCAGAAGGTGTTGAGTTTCCTCTCAAAAAATCTTTTATTAAGTATGTTTAATTATTTAAACTTTTTAATTATTATTCATAGCAATATTTTCACATCCAATTTTATACTTTTAGTCAAAAACCTATTAGGCTCAACCCTTTTTCTGTTTAAATACTTATATACATATACAGGGTGATTCACCAAGCATGCTCACCCCCATTTTTACCTTTAATAATTAGTGGTAATTTATTCAAATTCTGATTTTTGGAATTTTTAAATGTACTCAGACCATATTATTTTTTAATTCTTAAATTGTTTTTTTATTACTTTAGGAATGTCCTGTGGCGATATAAACTTCTGTTTTTAAAATAAAAACTTTTATTACTGTAAGTTATTTAGTGGATAATTTTTTTGAAAATGTTGATATATTACATTCAAAATTCAATTGAGTAGTTTCTTAGTTATTAAAGAGTTTATTTTAAGAATAATAGTCCTTAAAAAATGGTTTTACATAATATTATATATAAAGTAGGTGAAAAATTGGATCTAGTATTTATTATAATTGGCAATTTTTTTTACAAATTATTATTATTAATCTATCAATATTAATAATTTGTAAAAATTGCAAATTTTTAAATCACCATTGCTCTATATCTTATAAACCCATTACTGTAGACTTTTTATTCTTAGAAGTTTAATAACTCAAAAGGTTCTCGTACAAATTTTGATTTTGATACGTCAACAATTTCAGAAAAATATTCCACTGTATAATTTATAGTTGAATAGAGGGTGTTCTCATTTCAAAAACAGAAATTTGTATCTTTACAGAACACTCCTTGCGTAGTACAACAAATCTCAAGAATTTGAAAATATGGTCAGTATATTTAAAAATTCCAAAAAATCAGATTTTGAATAACTGCATTATTGAAGAAAAAATGGGGTTCGCATGTTTGGTTAATCCCCCTGTATATGTTTACATACATAAATACATAAATTTATTGTGTAATTACTATAAATATTATTTATAAATTATATCTTTGTTTAACTAATAATATTTATTGTTTTGTTTTAAACAGACTTCCACCGGCTCAAAAAATGTGTGGGGTAGATGGCTGTGAAAATCCAAAGAAATATTCATGTTCTCGAACTGGTTTACCATTGTGTAGCTTACAATGTTATAATGCAAATCAATTAAATATTTGGAACACTGTATTCTGATTAAGCATGATATTTTATGGTATATACGATATTTTATTTGCATGAAAAATACATTAATTTGCTTATTAACTATTTAACAATTAAATGCACTCGAAAAAATTAAATAATTAACATGAGATATAAATTCAGTATTCTATAAAATATAATTGTTATTGTATATTAATATTTCCAACAGATGGTCTTGTTGGCGGTATCAGCTTTTTTAATTCGGAGTCAATTTTTCGGTCAACTAACACTTTGATCACAAATTCACCTTGTTGAAATGGTTTGAAAGTAGCCGGTACTATTACATAGCTACGTAATGTAGACACTACAAATGTTTCTGAGATCACTTGTTTTGCCTTGTATGCTCCTGAACTACCTTCTGGTTCAGTACACAAAAAATACTCAGCTCCTAATGTTTCTTTTTGTTCAAAATCATTCTAAAAAATATGTTTGTACTATGATAATTTCAAAGTTTGATATTAATAATTAATAACTAATAAATTATAAATAATAGTTGGATTTACTTTGAATAAAAAAAATGCAATGTGTAATGGATTTTTTTTGTGTAGTCGTTTTATTTTTAATATTATTTTAATTGTAACAAACAGATTTTCTTCTAAAATACCTGCAAATTAATATAAATTTGTAAAATATTTATAATAATATATACAATAAAATAGTACCTGTTGGGAATTTGAGCAAATATTGAGGATTAATTTCAAACATGTCTAAATTATTCCTTGATCCTCCTGCATTTAGGCCATATATCCAACTACCATTAATTGTTAATACTTCTGGGAACCCCTAAAAGTAAATAGCCAATAGGAATATTTATGTTATTTTAAATAATTGTAATATTATATGTATATTAAAAATTAAATTAAAAAAAATTGTATACATACTTGAGAACTGTTATAGTCATCATGTATAAATATTTTATTGTTTTGTTCTTCACAAACATCCACTTGTTCAACCTAATAAAATATATAACTAATTTTTAATATCAATAGTAAAGTACAATTTATAATAATAATTAATGGTTTGAATTATATATTATGTTTAATTTTAAAAATTATCAAACCCCAATTTGTTTGTTGTTTCTGTCTTACTAGTGCATAGCTTGGCAAGTGCACGTTAAATAAATAGTACTTATTTAATTATATTAGTTTAAATTTTAGAGTGGATTGATATTTTATTAAATTTAAAGATAATTGTAACAATATCATTTAAGATGTCTTTTTTTAAAATATTTTAATTTTAAATCGAGATGTGCATTTTTTTAAAAAAATACAATTATATTTTTGTAGGTAGATACATAATATAATTAGTTATTAATTTAATATGTATTAGATATAAAAAAAACAAAATACATAACACAACAAAATGGGGGGAGGGGCCTAACCCCCGTTATCTCCCCTGGATCCACGCCAGTAGACCGTGTTTAAATTGTAATATCTTATATACCTACCTACTTAGTACTTTCTAATAACTCATTTTTTACCTATATTATTTTATCCGTTTGTTAAACAAATTCTGATTTATGGTAGAGATAGTTTATCATAATTTAAAAATTAAAGTAGGTACTGTTGATAGTTCCTAATTATTTTGTATAATGTTATTGATAAAACTAAACTATTAATTACTAATACCATGATTTGTCCATAGGTACTCACTCAAAAGTTAAATCTAACTATACCTACCTAACCTTAAAATTAAATTTAGGTCATCTAATAAATCATATTACTGTGATTTGATGTAGCTTACAAATTAAAGCAGGTAGGTACCTTAAAAGTAATGCCTATTTAACTACAGTTTTTTTAAAATGGATAAGTTCAATGGACAAAGTTAAAATTCACCGAGATAAAGGGAAAAACCATGTATAGGTTTTGGTTGGATATTTTTATAGCCAAATTTCTGAGTAATCCATGTCCAACGTTTATGTTTGTTATACCTATATAGTTATATAATTTTAGTCAGTATAATTTAAAGCTTGAATCAATAAAAAGTTTTTTGTTTAAAAATAAATTATATTTATTTAAATTTAAAAATATAATAGGTCATAGCCCATAGGTGTTATAAAAGATTGCATACCATATCAAATAATGTCATCTACCCTTGACATCAATAAATTACCGACTACTGTTGGAATAATAATTTAGTAAAAGTTGGTAACAAAAATGAAATATTGTTTTAAGCGGAGTACTAATATAAAAATTTGTAAATATATATTATACATTTATGTGAAGAGCTGCAGTACTTTTTTAAAAATTCACCGATAAACATGTAAAATTGTCCATGTTCCTATAAACATAGTACACGAAATAATTATTCCTTATATTATAATACCTATATAATTACGTTTGTATATTTAGACAAGTTCAAAGATACCAAATCATTTTTCTTTAATAAATAATAATAAGTTATTGTTAACAAAATGTAAGTCAAGTCGTGGTTCATAAGGACTGTTTTTAATCTTAAAACAAAAGACAAAAATATTAATTTATTACAAATTCCTTAATACAATTCTTCTTTTAATCAAGTTTGAGTAAAAATTATATTTTATTCACCACATCACTCACACACTAGCTAGATTACCTCTAACTCCGCTATACACCTATACAAATAATAATGTATAGCTATAACGGATATAATCAGTAGGAACTATTGTACAATTGATCCAATTAGATTATTTAATTTTTGATAGAATAAGTACCTAATAACATAGGTAGCTATGTTACTTAATACTAAATAGCAATAGTAGGTAGATACTAAAACTTAGGTAGGTAGATATCGAATTTGTCTAAAATTTAGACTCTAAATTATAAATGATAGTAAGGTTGATTTTTTTATGATAAGCCATAAGAAAAATATACAATTGCCCCCTTACAGTATACAAATTGAACTATCAATGCAGTTCAAATTACATTTTTAAATCTGTACTTCGTCTATCATAATATAAAATTATTCCTCTAATAACTTATTATTATTTAAATAGGTACATAATCAAACATAACAAAAATATTAATTTAAAAGCCAAATCTAAACAGTTATTCATCAAAAATACATTAGAAAACCAAAATAAATAAGCAAATTGTTCTCTAGATGTATGTCAAGCAATGTTAAAATCTGATATAGCCATATAGGTACCGTTATGGAAGTTATCATCCATCATTTAAAAATTTTTTAGAAAAAAAATACTGTTAAATGCGTTCCTGACCAGTGTACAATTATCAAAAATTATGTTTCTTCAGTTTATGAAAATACTTTTTCTCGTATTCGTTTGGAAATTGGTAATGGGCCAATTTGGGTTTTAAATTTTAATAGATGAGACCACGGACGTCGATGGTCGTTATATTATTTGTAACGTCATCGTTGCGGTCTTCTCCACGAAGACAATTATTCAAAGCCGTATCTGTTAATGTGTGAAAAACTTGAAAAATTTAATTTACAAACTACCTATATTGGTAAAATATTAAATATTTAATGATGCGATGCACCTATTATGGCTATCAGGAGTGAAGTACGATAAAGTATTATTTTTTGTTTCTGACACAGCTTTGACTATGTTATTCCCTAATTTAATTCATTTAATATGTTTGGCACACGGGATTCATAGAATTAGCGAATGTTTAAGAAATGAATCATATCTGATGTTGATAAATTAATAGCAACGGTTAAAAAAGTATTTTTTAAAAGCTCCCAGCCGAAATATCAAACTATAATACTTGAACTATTCCCGCCTCCCGGATTTATCTTTACCACCCAAACCAATTATCACTAGATTGGGTGCTTGGTTAAATGCCGTAAAAATGTAGAATACTATTCAAATAATTTTGTTTCAATAAAATCTGCAATATCAAATTTAGACAACGAACCAAAATCAATTAAAAAATCAAAAGAATTGTTTCAAAACAAACAATTACAAAATGATTTAGTTTATTTAAAAATTAATTTTTGTTTTCTCACCGAAGCTATAATCAAATGGTCTAAATTAGAAAAAAGTACACTATCTCTTGATGAAAGCTTAAATCACCGGTCGTTCGTATTTTAAAATGTGAAACAACATATTATCATAGTACCTATAATGTATAAATTTTATCATATTTTACTGGCGTATTTTAACATATTTATTTAGAGTAATTTGAAAAAAAATTATAGAATATTTAATAATATTTATGTGGTATATTTTAGCATATTTTTGCATATTTTTAATAATTAAAAAACATATTTCATAATTTTTGATTGCATATAAATCCTAATCCTGCTAATAAGTAATGAAATAGGTAATTAATTCTAGTGAGTACAGAGTAGATACAATTTATAAATTTAATATTCGATTAGCATAATATTTATAAAGGGGGGACGTGTTAATGATCTAATCACAACAATAACACTCTACTAATAATCATAAAAATATTTTTAGAAATATAAAATTTTAGAAACATTACCTAAAATATATAAATTATTATATTATTGTTACAAAAAATGACCTTTTTATAATATAAGATAAACTACACTAAAAAACAAAGAAATGGAATTATACCTAATTAAAAATATGAAATAAAATTTCTTTATTATTCTGATTAATTTCTTCTGAACGCATATAAACTATAAAGCATGAAACGAGTTTACCTATTCTTTTTAGCGAAGATAGCATTATATAGAAATAATTAAGATTGTATTAAAGGGGGGAAATGTAAATTTCATCAAAACCCTAGCCGTCTCTATTAATATAATTATCCGCGCAACCAGACGAAAGCATTTTCTTCTCATCATGTTTTACACCTGCAGTTTTGGGCACACATCACTTCGCTTTGGGCCTGCGTGATAATAATTCGCATCCACTGCAGCCGTAAGCTGTCGCCGCGGCCCGCAGATTTACCTGCGTAAATTTGGTGATACGGTGGACGGGAAACCCGGCGTGAAATCCTTCGACTCCGTAATTGTTGTAGTGCGCGAACGCGTCTTCGGCGCGGCGGTCGTCGCCACCACGCGTGGCCCGGCCACCGCACCAC